GTTTCATGAAACCCCTTTTGAAATTCTGTTCAATTACAATATTTGTAAACATCTTAAAACAATGTCAAACCAAATTAAAACAGTTTACGAAAAATATAAATATATAAAATGCATTACAATTTAGATTGAATTTCTTTTAAATAAGGTTTTACAGTTAAAAGCTATTTCTTTATGGAAGGACTTATCTCAAATGCAAGGGCATTAAACATTCACACATTTTGAACTAATCAAAAATTTAAACTGTAACACCCCTTAATATTTAAAGAAATATAAAACCAAATTTCTATTTTTATACTTTTGCCTAAATTTAACGAATTTGATATTCTTCTAAAATATAAACTTACTCCCAAATTAAAAACTCCCAAAATATTTGATATAAAACTATTAGAAACTTGTCAACCTAGAAAACTTATAATACTTAGAAACACCATTAAAAAAGTGTAAAACAAAAACCTTTGTCTCATCCAATAATGTTGCATATACAATGACAAATTTAATATATTAACCACCCTTATATATAGAAGGGTTAACAGAACACAAATATTGAACGACATCAAATTACAAATTGAGTTTAGACAGCAGCAACAGCAGCAACAAACACTTGTACGTTCAACATTAATAATAAAAATATACTTAGCGAAGGTCAAAACAAGTCCACAGCTATAAGGAAAAACGGTTATGGGATAAGTAGCGTCGAAAGTTCTTAACAAATTTGATAACAATTTTGAATGTAATCCCAGTAGCTACCACAGCCATACTAACATAAATATGATAATAAATGAAACTAAATTATAAAACATTAATAAAATTCTACAGTTAAAATTAAAACACAATCAAGTCAGTCTCCCCTTCCCTTCCCTTTCTTTTCTTTTACGGGCATATCTTAAGTGGTGGTTGTTTTTTGGAAATTATTATTCAATAGAAAATTTAAAAGGACTAAGGGAGGTATAAAAAATTCTTTTGATGTTGTCGTTGTTGTTACTTTGTTTTTATTATTGTTTTCTCTTTGTAAAACATTAATTTGGTTTTAATCCGAATTTTATTAAGAATAACACAAAAAGTAAAAAAAGTGTTAGATTTTATTATGATTTCTTTTAACCAGTATTTAGTATAGTGTGATATTTAAAAGTGATTGCAATACAGATTATTTATGTTTGTTGCACACTGATAATGACTTGCTGGCACGCAATGTACACACGTTAAAGTGAACAGTGTTTGAAGGGAGTAAATGTTGACAATAAATTTAGTTTGTTGTTTTTGTTTGGCGAATAAAGAATTATAGAATTTTATTGATAGTATGATTGGTCATAAAAATAGTGTGTTAATTTTTTGATTTTATTATAGTTGGTAATAGTAAAAATGTTATTTATTATTTTTCTTTTATTTATTTTAGGAATTTTATATATAACACTAGATTTTAATACCTTGTTGTACTATTATGTAAAGGTTATTATATATTTTTAATAAAAATATATAATAACCTTTACATTATTGTACAACAAGGTATTAAAATCTAGTGTTATATATAAACATTTTTTATATATTCATCAGTTACCTTGAACGTTATCAATTAATTTAAAATCACTTTCTGAGAGAGTAGAGCTAATCTTTCCTTTATTGAAATATCCCTACATTATTAAAATAACTCAATTATATTTGAAATGAGCAGTATTGTCAGAAGCTTCATTAAAAAAGACCAAATCGGACTTCAAAAAATTCGATAAAAGGCTAAAACATTTGAATAATAGGGCTAAAAAGGCTAACATTTGATACTAAAAAAGTGAAAAAATATAGTTATGCATTCCGATCATATGATACCATAAACTAATAATACATATACGAAAGGTTCAGTATGGCACTAGATGACTTATTCTTGGTCTCTTCAAGATTTCGATTCATCTTCCAGATGAAAATCTCAAAAATGTTGAAAAAATTAGATTTTTTACATGTTAAGAAAATATTTCAAGTGCTTCACTAAAATATGCGTATACTTAATATTTGTAATATCGATAAATGATTAACACGTATACGTACAGCTGTCATCAATAAAAACAGTGCAACTTGCAAGATATAAGCCTGATATAATGACTTTTTTGTAAAAATGACACCGAGGTCCCTAATCTTTGGGGCCCATAAAAACATATAAGTACATTTGTTATAAAAACTCTTAGGCCAGTGGTAGTAGTATCGATACTTGTCTTAATAAACGATATTTATTCAAGTGTCTATATAATTTGCAAATTTTACAATAAAATTTTCAAAATAAACATAGCAAACTGTTGCTAATATATTGAAACAAAATTTCATCGCTTTTCATTAATAAACATAAAGGTTGCCCAGGTTCACTTCACAGTCATTTCAAATCACACTAAAAGTGTCAATGACTCTAACATAGTTCAAAAAAGTATTAAACATTTTTCCATGATATTTATTTTTTTAAACAAGAAACTAACAGACCTAGGAACCAATAAACACTTCTATAAATAAATTGAATTGATTGTCTGCGTGTGATATTATTTAAGAACTTTAGCATAAAAAAACAAAATCATATTGTTATCAAAGCAAAGAAATCGTATAACAAAAAAATATAAAACGAATATATTTTTTGTGTTTTTTATTAATGTATTAATATTGAATGTCAAATCAACAAATGCCATCGTTGTTTACAAATAAACTTTACGAATGGGAAATTCCTAAATAATACAAAAGTTTTGGTTTACAAACAAACCTATTTACATGTACATATACATATGTATGTATATAAGGAAGAATATACATGTAAAAATGTCAGTATATAAAATTTCAGTTCATTTATTTCCCATATTACTGTTCAAACTCATTATTGTCTTTTGCGTTTCATTTTTGGTGTGATAATATTTATTTGTATGTTTATAGAAGTAGATGTATATATAATTGAAACATATTTATTATTTTATTAAGTAAATAAACAATAGGAATGTCTTTATTATTAAATAAACGTGTGTTATCGTCAGTCATAAAGAAATTAATGTCACAATTGTACGAGAAAGAAAAGAGCAATAAAATCAAAGTTTTATCGTTATTTTAATTAGTTGTATGTATTGTAATTATGTATACCCTACACCACTTTAGTGGGGAGGGTATATTGGGTTTGTGCTGATGTTTGTAACATACAAAATTATTCGTCCTTTACCCACCTTAAAGTATTCCAATCGGCTTAGAATTGTCTTCTGAGTTGATTATGCTATGTCCGTCCGTCTGGCTGTCCATGTAAACCTTGTGCGCAAGGTACAAGCCGCAATATTCAAGATAATTGGATAAACACACACGCCTTTTTTGGTCCAAAGACAAATCCTGTTTCAAATGGTTAAAATAGGAACATTATTTCACCTAGCCCCATACAGCAGAACCCCCGAAAAGGGCTTCTGAGCTCATAATTATGTTAAATATAGCTGTATATCGATAAAAAGCGACACAACTAAGCCTTACAAAGTCCCCTTTAGAATATTACTTGAATGTCCAAAATTAGCTTATAAACACAAATATTGCGATGAAATTCAGCAAATAAATATTATATAAATATATTCACTAAAGTTTATCGGGCTTGGTCCACTTTGCCCCTAGCCCGCATATAAGGCCTCTTTCAGAAAATTCGTTTTTCATCGACAAATTGCTTAAATGTATCGGAACAAGGTAATGGAAGATAAATTTCATTTTTAACTAACTTTTCACCAATAATATGTAAAATCTTTCATAGATTTTAGTCAAGTTCAATAGGATTCTCCCTTAAGTCAACTTGTATGTTGAAGCATTAAGTAGTCAAATTGTATTTAACTCCTTATACGATTTGTTATTACTCTTAAAAACCCCTCAAATGCTACTCTTTGACTTCTTATACCTTAATTTCACTCCCCAAAAATATTCCATATCATAACATTATAAAAAAAATTGACAGTAAAACCATAATACTTTGACAATAAAATTTATATCAAAATGCTTTAAGTCTTTGTCAAGTGGTTTCGTTACCAATGACAGAAATCAAATTTCTATCGCACAACCAAAATTTACATAAACAATATAAACACAATTATTTAACATTTACCATTTTGACTTTGCTGACAATTCATGTTTTGAAAACCAAAAGTTTTCACACAAGAGCATCAAGGAATAGAGGGGCCTTTAAAAATTAACAGCAACTTATGCAAATAAAATTAATACTTTAAGTCTTTATTAAACTATAGGCCACAAAAGTTGGATGGTTAATGACAACTTAAGTTTTAAGGATTGCTACATCATCCTCTTTCCCAACACAGCCTATATAAACAAAAGTAAACAAATAAATAGTGAAAGTAGACCCAGCAGTTGTTGAGAAAAACTTAAGTGCCTGACGAAACGTAAGTATGTATGTCTCTATGTATTTGTGCATTTAAGCATGTATGTATGGGTAAGAGTGCTTTGTAAGATTTTAGACATTTTAACACTTATACAATTTATATGCATAAGAAAACATCTTATAAAATTTTTGCTTCTTATACGTCTATTGAGTTTAAATGGTGTGTATATGTTTTGGAATATGTTAATTTAGAATATGTGTGCAAATATTTAAGACGAACTATTCAAACAAGAATCGAACCACTTAATGTATCTATTAGAGGCCATAAGTTATATAACATTTCAAGGGATTGTGTTAGAGTTTGAAGGGGAATATATGGTTGAACTAAATTTACAAGCAGTATGTTTTTCTATTATGAATTGGTTCATGTATCATTTATTTACTAAAATTGAGAGAACAGAGATGTATTGAGGTTAATTGATACTATTCACAGTCGGCTTCGTAGCCTGGTATAGTTGTAAGTCGTAGTTTCTTATTATTGTTATGTTAAACCTATAATAAAATCATGTCATATAACGATATAACGCTACAACTCCGATTGTGAATTTTAGATTTGATTGTAATAATTATTACTAAAATAAAATGTAATTCTTTTATATAACTATAATAAATTATTTTTTCTTTTCAGAAACAAGTTACTGTTACATTACATTGTGGTAAGTATTTGCAACTAGAACCTTCTTCTAAAGGTCTTATTAGTTAAAAAGTTTTATAATTTATCAAACACAGCCATAGTAAAGAGCAAATATTAAGTTACAATAGAATTATGCAAATTCCCAGCTTGCATGAAGATAAAGAAATGAATCAATATATTTAGTAAATGCCTAAAAATTAGCTGAAGTTTGTAACACGTAAAATTAATAGCATTATAGTCAAGTTAAAGTATGATCATAGGTTAAGAACCACTCTCTGAGTTGATTTAGCTATGTCCTTCCGTCTGCGTGCTCATGTTAAGCTTGTGCGTAAGATACGGTTGTCAATTATCAAGATAATCTGATTAAATTTGGCACATGTGGTTTTTTGGCCTTAAGTGATTCAAATTGGTTAATTATTTTACTTTGAAACGAAACACAGCTAAATATGTTCTTGGAATTTGTTTAAATATTCTACTATCTCTGCAAAAATCGGCAGATTTATGATTTATAAAGTCACATATAAACATTACGAAGAAATTCGGCATTTATAACTTTTATGTGTATAAACGTAAATAAATTTACCAAAATTTTTGGATTTTAATTATCAAAATTTTTTCCCCGAAAGAAGATGAAATTTTATACCCTACACCACTATAGTAGGGACTGTATTATGCGTTTGTGCTGATGTTTGTAACATCCAAAAATATTGGTCCTACACCCAACTAAAGTATACCAATCGACTAAAAACCACTTCCTGAGTCGATTTAGCTATGTCCGTCTGTCCGTCCGTCTGTGTTTCCATGTAAACCTTGTGCGCATTCTACAAGTCGCAATTTTGAAGATAATTTGATGAAATTTTGCACTGTGTACTCTTCTTTTCATCCAAATTGCAAATAATTAAAATCTATCCATTATTTCGTATAGGCGCCATACAACCGTACTCTCCGAATAGGACTTTGATATGTTAAATGTTCTTGTATCACTTCAAAAATCGGCAAAACTTAGTTTTATATAAGTCTTAATGGTACAGCTGATTTTCGTAATGATCGGGCCTCATTTGAAACTATCCCCCATACAAAGTCCCCCTCAGAAAATGACTTGATGGTCAAAATTCACTTATGAACACTAATATCATGATGATATTCTGCATAGCATCCCTTTACCGAAATTCATAAGGATATGGTGGTATCCTGCCCCTATATAACTCCTCATTTAGAAAATCCTTTTTTGTCAACAAATTATTAAAATATTTCTGAATAAAGAATTTAAAATAATCAACATTTTTAACATAATCACTGGTGTAGGGTATCATATGGTCGGCCATGCCCTACTGTAAATTCCTACTTGTTTATAATGTAAAGGTAACCCAGAGATCATTGGATATTATATATGAATTCTAAATAGTGGTTTAATTTTAGATAACGTTAGTCATAAAGCAATTAAATATCCAGAAAAAATAGAGAACCGAAAGGAATTGATGTAAAGGACTATTAATAAATTCTAGAAAATATTAAACTTAGTATGAAAATGCTGTGCTATGGGTCATTTAGTGGTATACATATGTAAATACATATACATACATACTTAGAGTTTAAATAAGAAAGTTAAACAAAAATCCTTTTAAATATTTATGGTTTACTAACACGTAAATATTTAAATGGCACATTTAAACAAAAAAACCGTAATTATATTTTCATGCCACAAACATTTTAAACAACACAAATTTTACCAACCAGATTACCCATATAAAAAAAATTAGAAATAATTTTAAGGTGCTAATGTTTTAACCGTAGACTGTAATTAATTTTAAACACTTAAGAAATCCACTATAATTTTAATATTCAGCTTAAGGGAACAAGACATTTGTTTTCTAAACATACAAACATAGTTTGTTTGTTCTATTCCGTATATAGTTTTTTTTTAAATTTTTACAAAATTTTGCTAGTGGTTACAGAAAAGTTATTTACAGTTTTCTTCGAGGTCAAATGGCATTTTACCATAAAATCCTTGACAACAAGTATCTTTTAAGATTATCAACGTCAACAAATAATGAAGTGCTCTTAAGGGGTTTCTTGCTCGACAACAGAGACTGTGTGACAGAGCAAGTAGGAGAGAAAAGTGTAAACAAAACACAGAAAACAAACAACCTACCACTACAACTATGATACTGTAATATTGTTTGAGTGTGTAATGTAAACAATACTCAATAGAGCTTTAAAGACATCAGAGAGACATTATTTAGCAAAGAAGAAGAAATAAAAAAACGAGATTAAATATCACAGAGATTCATTTATTTATTTAATTATCCTGGGCACTACTATAATTTTCAGGTTGTTAATGGTTTGCTATACTAGTTTGTAATTTACAAATGGTTCAAAATTGTTTACAAAAAAATGAAACTAGCTCCAAGTTGTTAGATAAATTCCTGTGAATTCAGAAATAGTGATAAAATGTACTATAATTTATAGATATTTTACTTTACTAAGAATTTTCTGAGCAATGTTTTTGTAAATATTGAGTTTTAATGAAATTGTAATTGATCTGGACACATTGAGTAAATTAATATTTTTGTGTCCTTGTTCTTTTAAATCAATACCTAGTATAGGATTTTTTATGCATAACTATACTAAATCCTTGTTGCTTTAGTTACACTACCTCTTCCCCTCAAACGAGTTCGTTATTATTTTTTCTAACAAATTTGTAATTAATTCAATAATTTCTTTTTTTATTTCGAGTATTTTGAATATAATTAGAAAACTTTCCTCTTAGTACATAATTATACAATAATGTTTTTTTATTGCGCTTTGTTGTTGCTGTGATATTGTCAACGTTGTCTTGTTTGTACTAAAACTGACTTTTGAAAATCTTTTAATTATTTAGTTTTTCTTGTATATATCCAACTGTTCATAAGTATGTCAGAGTGTGAGTTTTATTTGCGAATTAAGAACTTAACAAAAATTTAATTCAATAAAAATCTGTTGTCAAAAGTGGAAAGCAAATGGTTGGAGAATAGAAAATGTCACTACTCATCAACATTAAATAAAATCATCGTTATAATAATGACCATCATAATCACATTCAATGCACTCTTGACAATTTTGTGTCTTTTGCAATTTCTCGTTCAATATTGCTGCTACAATGGTTGCTGTTCAACTGAGTTACTATCATTTAAAGTTGCTACTTCTGTTAGTTGGTCTTATAAGTGGTTGGTCTTGGAGGTACTGAGACTACTACTGTGTACACATTGCCCATCACACAAGTAAATGAGAGATTTGGTGAGATAAAAAAAAACATCATGGAAAAAACGTTTTTATATTTTTAAGTCTGTGACTTGCGTGGTCATTAGAGATGCCCAAAAAATATAGATTTTGTTTGGAAAGGTCTTATTTTATATATTAGTGTCTAAAACTTATTTGTATTAATTATACCCTACACCATTTTAGCGGGGAGGGTATATTGGGTTTGTGCTGATGTGTTGTTTTTTAATTCTTTAGAAATTATGTTTTTAAAATTACATTTTCTTCACATTTCGACCAAATCAAATATATATAAAACATTAATCGAGTTACAAATAACAAAGTTATAGGCCCAAATATGTATGTAACAAAAACGACTGCTTAATGAATATTTGATTCGTTTTTTTGTATAGATATATCAAACTTCGATATTAATCTTTATACCTCATTGGATAGACAATTTTCTGAAGAAGATAAGATTTGGTCGAAATGTTAAGAAAATATAAATTTAATGACACAATTTTTTTAAATTCCAAAGAAGACTTATTTTTTTATGTAATTAAACATATTTCAATCGATTTCCGGCACATGTTTCTGTTATCAGATTGTGTTAAAATTTAATATCAGTCAGTTTTAGAATGAACAAAAATAGACCCATCTAAGAAAAATGCATATTTTACGGACACTTCTAGTGGACACACTGCCACTACTTCTAGTATTTATTATCGCCGTTGCTACTAGCAATGATGGAACTGCTGTTTTATAATAGACAATGGAGTTTACAGACATAACTTCTCCTTCAAACACTCAACAGAATAAAAACTAATCTCCATATAGACAGATATTTAAAAGATTAAATTTAAATAATTTACAAATATTAAGAAAGGATATGCTTCCTTTACAGTTTGCTTACTTTCCCTTGTACATAATGTATATCCCGAATGCTACTCTCCAGAAGCTGTCGCGTTTATTTAAGGTCCGTTACCCGTAGGGAAGTTGACTTAATTGCAATAATATTAACGAATTAATTCCTTTAGCTTCAGTTTTAAACTAAAAACAAAAGAAACACATACAAATTGTTGACAGGGTGATGAAAGGATATCAGAATGAAGAAGATGAAAAATATATGGCATTCTCACATACAAACAGTCAACAGCAAGCAGTAGCTTTAACAAAAAATAAAATAGAACAACAAAAGCAAAATACGTAAAATAAACAAAAAAAAAAAAAAAAAAAAAAAAAAACAACAACGGAAAAAAATTTGTTGGAGACAAACAAAAAGTTATTAACGTTAATGGGTTGTGACGGTATTAGTGAGAAGGATTTTAAATATGGTCTCTTACAGTTAATGGCAACAACACTGATGACAGCCATGTTCTTGTTGCTGTTGCCTGTTCTAATGATGCTGCCAGCTTTACTAGTTTTTTTTTCATTCATTGTCTTTGTTTTTACTGAGATTGTTATTAATATAGAGTGACATTTCTTATTTTTTCTTTACTTTCAATCTTAAATTTGTTCATTTATTTCAAAAGTAAAGTTTTGTATTTAATGTAAAACATGTGTAATTGAAAAGTTTTCTATTATATTTATGTTTTCTTGCTTAAATTAATTTAACAAATATTTTAATTGTTTATATATTTTCAAAGAAACTTGACAAACTATTTATATTTTCTAAATATTGTGCTAAAGACATAAACATTTATTTTTATGAGTATTTGTAGATAATAACTGTGGTCATAGGCAATAAGCGCCTAAATCGAAAATCATTGTTGCTAGAAAAATAAC